CCATGCTATAGTGCTTGGCCTAATTAAACCTTACAAACTTTAGTATAGCAAATTATCCAAACTAATCACCGGTCAACCGATTTCGGCGGTTGAATCAATATAACATGTAGCTCGAACATTCTAGATTTACAATTACTTCAGTTTCGAGCACTATTCGGACAGATTCCAGCCAGTTTCCAAATTTCCCTGTCGAAACAGCAAGTTCAAACCTATTTTGTCAACATAGGTTTTCATGTACCTATGTGGGTTTTCAACTTTGCCTAATCCAAACTAACCAAGACAACTATTTTATAGAACTAGTTATGCTGAAAATTATATCTGGTACCATCTTCGTTTTCCATTGAAATGCTGGCTTCATTTAAAAGTTTATTCTTTTTTTAAAATGATTGTGCATTTTGTCATACTTGAAACTTACCCTTTATGTGTTTCTTTAAAATAAAAATAAAAAGGTTGCACCTCAACCTTGAGAGCCCCACCGTCTAGCTCCTAGGGCATCGTGAGGAAGGTAAATCGCGGGATGTACCCTAGTAGGCCAGGGAACAAGAGCTTGCCTGTACACTGGTGCGCTCTTGTTCCCTTTATGTGTTTCTCTAGTTCTACTTTAGGATGTTTGGGTTTTTTCCTTTCAATAGCTAATTGTCAAAATTTCTTGTATAATATAGATCTTATAATAGACAGTTTATGCAATGCATTGATTGCTACATTCTGAATGTTTGCTGCTAATGTTTCCTGCTATTGTCTGATTTTTTTGTGGATTTGTGATTTTATTGATACCTATTGCCGAGCACTTGAATTTCTGGATGAGAAAACCTCAGATATCTGATAAAGAAATACTAATATTCGCTTCGATGTTAAGTGTGAAAGAACCTCTGATGTCTAGTAAAGCTAATTTGATATGAACCCTAGCCAATTAAATGAAGAAGCAAGGATAACTGTTTGTATGTTACCATAATTACTCTATATTCAATCAATTCTAGGAACAGAGAAATGGCATTTTTATTATAACGAAATTTTACGAAGTCAAAGGAAATTTCTACATCTTGCAAACTTAATTCTGATGAGTAGTCTATCAATCTCTTAATATGTTCTAGTCATGTATCTCACTGATTATCATTGTGCTCATAATACGAATTGTGTACGCAGCCCACTTTTCTGACTTCTTATTGGGAATATTTTCTGAAATATTGGTTTCACTGATTTCAGGTTGGTTACTTGCTTAGCTTGGACGATCTACATCTAATTAAACCTCTATTAGTCAATTTCATTTTTTTTTTTTTTTTTCAAATCAGTTTTTTCAAGATGTACACTGCATTGCAAAAGATTCACATGGACAAGGATGCTGAGCCCACTGAGTTTAAGGAGAATGTTGCTCAGGTCGTTACCCCATAGAAGCTAGTGGATTCGTCTACTTTATTCAGCCATTAAATTTCCATGAATGCAATTTGTGATGGTTTAACCTTCTTGGTGTGTATGTAAGCTCTGTTCGACTTAGAAACTACAAACCAAGGATCAAGAGTGACTTGAAAGATCTTTACAACAACGATACAATGTAAAAGTTATCTTGATTAACACTTATTCTATGCCCAATCACCATTTTGTAGCTTGTTGATCATCACTCTATTTTACATTGTGCAGGCAAATTGATGATTCTGGAGAAAGAAGGTTCTTGTAATCCATATTCATTATCGTCTTAGGAAAGCTTTCCGCAAGATTCTTCATCTTAGACTAGTGAGAGCTTGAGAAGAAGTTCAGCGGGAAGATATATAATGCCGATGCTATGATGTCATGTTAAGAATTTGCTCCATATATCTAACCAAAATTGCCATACCCCCTTTCCCCAACATTGTTCAGAAAGGGAAAAAATAAGGGAAAAAACTTAATCTTCACATACAAAGTAGGGGAATGCAACTTTTTCTACTTTTCCACTTCTACATAACTTTGATCAATTTATTAAGATATTATTTGCACTTGTCTTGTGTTAATAATACTTAAATGGTGTTGTTTTGCGGATGAATGCTGGTGATGTTGCCAAGGCTAGTAAGATGAAATAAATTTCCATGATTTTATTCCAGTTTATCATTTCTTCGTTTTCTCTTATTAAATTTTATTAGTAATTGTTATATATGCAATTACAATTATCATTTTGTAGCAACTATTGTTTCTTGTTAATTTTGTTATTTTCTCCTGTGCATTTTTTATATTTATTAGTTTAAAACAACTAATTATTTATAGCAACTAACTTGTGGTTGTTGAAAATTCAACTAAACAATTAGCCAAATATTAGCAGCGACCAAATATTTATTGTTAAATGTCTTTAATGGTTTTTATTTAACGTTTGACAAAAATGGATTTTGGTAGGTAAATATCTTTCTGCAATAAAATTTTGGTTGTTAAAAGATTAAAAAAATAAAAAATTGTCCATTCATTAACCAATGACTGGTTTGTGATAGGTACTATTTTTACCAACTATTCTTCATAGACTAGTATTTGATGGGATAGCAAAAATACTCGTCAAACTCAATACTCGTGGGGTCACATCTCGAACGTGGTGGTGATTATCTGCTTAATCAGTCAGGTATGGAGTGGGAAATTCCCCCTGAGGCAGGTAAGGGTAACAGGGCCCCGCCCCGTTTAGTTTTTTTATTTTTATAAAGACACTACTAAAAAACAGCTTTCCACCTATGGAAAATTACCAACGGATAATCAGTCGGGTATGAAGTGGGGAATTCCCCCTGAGGCAGGTAAGGGTAACAGGGCCCTGCCCCGTTTAGTTTTTTTATTTTTATAAAGACACTACTAAAAAACAGCTTTTCACCTACGGAAAATTATTAACGGATTGCATCCGTTGGTGATTAGAAACGGATGATCCGTTGGTAACTATCAGCGACCCTCAAATTAACAACGGATTTGTGGTTGCAAATATTCCGTTGGTGAAGATTATTAACAACGCATATTGAAGCTTTAGGAACGGAAAATCCGTGCCCGAAACTTTGTTTTTAGTAGTGAGAATTCAATATTTTAAAAGAAAAAATTCCATGAAATTTCATTAATTCTAATAGAAGATGACAACTAAGATTATCTAGAGATTATGATAAATAATAAAAACTTGAGTTTACTAAATATATTCGTATAATTTAACTTTTAAAAGTAAATTACCTAATTAAAAATTTTAATTATTATATTATTGCCTCACTTAAATAAATGGGGGCAATAAAATAAATTATCAAAAAATAAAAATAAAAAAAATAAATGGGTATGTAAACAGAACAATCACCCAAACTCGTCCCGCCCTTCCTCAAACTAGTAACAGGGCGGCTACGGGACGAGAAAATGCCTGACAGGGTAGGGACCCCTCCTCGCCCTAACCCTAACCCTCCCCACCCCTAACCCGTCCCGTTAGCAACCCTAATATAGGGTCATTAATGGTGTGCCTTCATTGAACAAATATTGGGTGCTAAAAATTGACAATAGTTTTAATTGATGCTTTTTAACAACCATTGTTCAGTTGCAAAAGGGTGCAAATCTAGTAATTTTTTACAAATATTAGCCGCCAAACCAAGTCCTTTACCATCCAAAGTTAGGTTACTGAATGTTCTAGAGTTAGCAACCAATTATAAGTTGGCCAATAAAGACATTCATTTACAGTGAATTAGTGACCAACTAGCAACCATGGTTTTTGGTTACTGAAGATCTTTTTTGACCAATACTTTGAGAGCTCCAGAACTAATCATCATATACCTTCGTCATATTCAGAATTGTTCTATTCATTCTTTTAGTTACCCTATTTTGCTATGGAGAATAAAGGATAGTTTATATCTTAGAATCCCATTTTCTTTACAACTCATGTCAAATTCAGTATTGCAAAATTCTAAGTCATTATCAATTATGAGGATTTTAATTTTCTTTCCAATCTAATTTTCAATCAAAGTTTTTCAAGTTTTAAACTTTTGAAAGGTTTAAGATTTTTGCTTTAATAAAAAAATCGATATTTTTCTCAAAAATTCATCAATTAAAGATAGAAAATATTTATTTCCCCATTGATTGACAGGAGATGAAGGAATATACTAAAAAACGGAAGTAGTCTTATGTTTTCCATTATTAAAGTGGAGTCTACGATGTTTGCCTAAGATGCAATGTTCACAGAAAATG